TTTTTTTTTTTTTTGGTACCAAGGATAAAACTCCAGTCCTTGTGCTTGTGAGGCAGGCAGCAGAACCACTGAGCTAAATCCCCAGCCCTATTTATCTCTTTCTAAAGACTGTTAAAAGATACAGATGAAATGTTGAGGTGGAAAGTTTGGTCTTGTGGTTATGGTTAAGAGTTTGTTCCCATGAGATAAGCTGAAGAATAGAAATACCTGTGAGATACCTTTTGATAGAAAATTAATAGATCTCTTATAAAAGCTGCTTAGAGCTTTTTGTACACAGAGACACTAAAGTACCATATCAAAGATAAAACTATCTAGTTGTACTGAGTTTCTACAGTGGAATGTTTATCAATAAAATTGTTTTGACACCATGTTCTAAGCTGTTGGCCAAACTTTGTGCTCAAAATTAACTAGTTGAAATGATTAGCTGAGCCTCAGTTTATCATTTTTATCCCTATCTTAAGTCTAGCTTAACATAGAATAGATTATTGATCTGTCTACATTTAAGCATGTATTTGATTAAGGTGGTATCTTTTAAGATTCTAAGGTGACAAATTTATACTTGAATTTAAATAGAAAACCAGAAGTGGGTGATTCATACATTGTAAAATAAGATTAGATTTTCTTATTCTCATTGGCATAGATTTTTTTAAGTAATTACTGTCTTTAAAAACTATTAATTGTTTTGTATGTTTTACATTACTTTTTCTCTTATCTCCATTTACTAGCATAACTTTTTTAGAATTCCAATCAGTGGAAAAGGGATAGATAACAATTTTGATGTTAATTCCTTTTGTAGTGATGAGGAATTTAAATCCACCTTCATCAAACTGGGAGGTAGAAAAGTTGAGCTGTGACCTGAAGATCCATGGTTTGGAACAAGAGCTGGAACTGATGAAAAAAGAATGTAATGATCTCAAAATAGAACTACAAAAAGCCAAACAAATGGTATTACAAAATTATTAAACTGAAATTTAGTATTCTTTTTGCATTATAGTTTAAGTAATACAGAGTTATCATTAATTTTAAGTACTTAGGAATGTTCTCAGTGAAAAACTCATTTTCTTCTTTAAGCATTTCTGCTAAAATTAAATATATACTTTTAATTTGACCCTGGAATTATATAATTTTGTTGATAAGAGAGATTTAAGATGCCTATTAAGTTATTTGACTGTTCTTTCAAATTCCCTTTCCTTTAGTTTCTTCTTTTTTTCCTGTAATATTTTAGGAGAACTCAAGTTTTAAGTTTCCCATTTTATTTTATTTAATTTGATTTATTTACACATTGCAACAGACAACTTTGAAAGTTCTTTAAAGAAAAACTACCAGGTAGCAAGAAAGCTTCATAGGCCCTACTTTTCAGAAAATGTATTTTTAGAGCAACTTCATAAAGTACTTTTCAGATTCTCACCAGGAGTGTTTTTACTAGTGCTTTACTTTGGATTCTAACAAGCATGGCCATTTTTTTCAGATGTCATGACATGTAGTGCTGAGGACAGCAGAGAAATGTAAAGGAGCAGGGGAGTGTGAGAGCTGTAAACCAAATGAATAGTTGTTAAAAGAAATTGAAAGCTTAGTAATCTGGAGTCAATAGCCATTTCTTGCATTTTTGTAATCTAAACTAGGTACAGTATAAACAGTTCAGTAATCCTCAGCGCATCCATTTTGCGTAGCATTTCCACATTATTGAGGAACTGTGTCTCCTATTTCATGTTCCTCTGGGATTTTCTAAAAAAGGAAATGCTTCCCCTATGGAGCCAGCACCTATCTCTTCTAGTCTTTAGCAGAGGTGACCACTGAATAAGAATGAGTCAAGTGTAAGAATAAAATAGTATTCTGCCCTAGCCTTGACCAAATGAGTTCATCTGAATAGGGCAGTAAGAACTTACTTTGAAGCCCCCAGCTCCAAAGAGGAAACACTGGTAATCGTCAATCTTTGTTAGAGCCAAAAAGGGTGTTGTTTGGGATTTTGTTTTCCTGTTTGATATTGGAAGTTGATTATCCCAGCTTTGAATGTGGCGAGTTGCATACCACCATTTCTTCAAAGGCTTCTAGCCTCCTTGCAAAAGCCCATTACCATGGCCTCTGAGAGCTTTTTAAAAAGACATGTTTGCAAGAAAATATTTATAATTTAAAGCTCTGGATTATTTATACACACACACACACACACACACACACACACACATCCTACTTCAAAGGAAGTAATTTGATAGCTTTTTTAAGGATATTGTAAATTAGGAAGCAGTATTACAGAATCGTGGAAATCTGGTTCATAAATTGTATTGCTTATTGACTGTGTACCATTAGGAACATCATTTCACTTTTCATGGAATTTATTTTCTGTGGACATTAAGTACCTATTATTTTTTTTAATGAAGCTTTAAATTACTATTTGTAAAACAGTTAACATAGTGCCTAGGACATAGTCTTCAGTAAGTAAAATTTTTTTTTTTTTTTTTAAATTGGTTATAGCAATCCAGAAAGGCAGTGCATTTAAGTGTCTGTGTATTGCAGGTTAGGGATAAAGTTTCATTCTTAACTTATTAGTAGTTATTCTTTTCCACTAGATGGTGCTAGGGAATAAATTTACTTTTAATTTAAATCTGTCCTAAGCAGTGAGGTCATAGAAACAGAGTTTTAGAAGAACTTTAAAAATCACTTCACCTGATGACAACACTAAATCCAACAAACAAACTTTGAGTGGAAGGTGAGATTAAGGAGAAATATTGAAAAGGGAAAAAAAGATTTAAAGCATAGTCCATGCTTTCACAAGCATTTATTAGCGGTAGGGGGAGGCTGTGTAAAAACAATGCTTATCTAACATAAAGGAACCAAGAAAAGGTACAGGGGAAATAATTTATCAAGTATCCCAAGTTGAAATCTTGATATCTTGGAATATCTATTTTTAATAAATGTCTTGTTTCAGAGGTGTTGCTGATTAGAATCCTCTTGGATATGGGAATCTGAAAGCAAGCCAAAGAAAGACACTTCTGTTCACATTAATAAACTTGCTTATATCTACTGTAGCCATATTTGCAAATACACACACACACACACACACACACACACATATTTTTGTTTTGTTTTTGGTACCGGGGATCAAACTCAGGACCTTGCACTTGCGAGGCAGGCGGTGGAACCACTGAGCTAAATCCCCAGCCCTGCAAATATTTTTAAGATGGTACTTTCTCTGAAATACACTTTTAGTACCTCTTGAAGTATGAATAGTTAAAGTATGTAATAGTATCCTACATGGATTTCCTGCTGTTCTATTTTTGTTGTTTTTTTAGTTTCAGTTAGTGAATTTAGTTAATTACTGTTTGGTGAGATCGAGATTTCAAAAGCATTTCCACTAGGGACCATTAGATGTTCTCTGTCCTCAGTATTCTAGCCATTTACATTCAGAACAGTTGATAACTATGAGAGATAACAAATTCTAGAGCTGAAAAAGTATAAGAAACAATAGATCAGTAAAATGGAGTTGATATAGAAGATGTTTGAGGTTCTTAATAATAGATTTACAATAGGTGTAGGGTATTAAAAGTTCTGAGAAATCCTATAATACGGGAACCTGTATAGCTTGGATATTATTTCCTAGTAGTTTGCAGCCATGAACCCTCGTTTATGTCAGACTCCTGTATCATATTGTAGAGATTAGGAAACAGATCCATTACTGCCTTCAAAACATTGCAAACAGATTAGTGGCCATAAAAAAAAAATCTTTGAATATTAGAAACAACCTTTTAAGCTTATTGCTGATTTATATTAGATTTTTCTGAACTGTTAGAATCCAAACTGTCGGTTTTGGGGGTTTTTTTGGGTTTTTTTGTTTACATTTTTGGCTTTAAAAATGAAGAAAATTTCGAATCAACATATATGTGTAAGTATACACTAGTGAAATTATTTTTTAAATTAATGATACAAAGAAACTAAAAGTACTGATTGGTTCGATTCCTATGCAGAATAGGAAAGAATACTATACAAGGATAGGTAGGTGCTTTGTTAGTGTCAGAACTCCCTTGATTTATGGGCCAGTTATGTTACCCTCTCCTTCCATAGAGCTCTCCAAGATGCAGTTTAATTTTTAACAGTATTAAAATTAGAAACCCCAAACTGCTTTAATTCCTATAAGAAGCACTTTTATTATTTTACTCTCTCACATTGAGTACTCATGAAGTTCTTACATAGCTTTTGATGTTCACTTTAAAACTTGTTATTTTATGTAAGTAAAATTAAATTCCATTTTCTTGGCTTATAACGACTTTATGAAGTTCTTGCCCATTCATTTTGTGTCTGTCTAGAGAGAGGAAGTTTATGCTGATCTTTCTAAACAGTAACCTACTACTTTTTTGGTTATAATACAAAAACATGAAGTAACCAAGAAACTTCCATTTTCTCATGGAGTCTGTTCATATATACCTTGAAAAACAATAATGCCATAAATATTATCATACTTTTAAAAATACAGACTTGATTGGTATGCTCAGAAATAAATTGTAAGGTTCCAATTTCTTCTGCATGAGAGCAGTTTTATTTTTGAGAGAAAATTAAGTCATTAACGGTTTAAATAATTCAAAGTGATTTAGAAATTTATGATAGCTTGGTTGTATTTCATTAAAATTGAGTATGAAATCTAGTTTTACACTATAATTATAGATGTGTTCTATAAAAGTTGAAACATCTCTGGTCATGAAGAGCTGGCAATATATAGAATGTAATAATTCAACTTTTTAACTTATTTTTTAAATGACAGGATTCATCTCAGGAGGACAGTCTGAAGAGTAGCAATTTCCAAAGACTAAGCATTTCAAGGTATGAACATTCTTTAACATTAAAATGTGTTTTCTTCTATAGGTTACTTTGTGTTTGTACCTACATTTCTGTTATGATTTAACCTTAAGAACAAAGCAAATGGATACTATTTGGATGCTGAATGTAACTTCTGCTCAGAATATATTTATAAAAAACATTTAACAGCAGGCTTAAATGTAAGTATTAGAGAGGTATACACTGTGATGTCTTAAAATTTCTAAACATTAAGTAATATTTTAGATACAGTTTTAAGGAACCTGCTGTGTGGAAGTATTCAATAGTAATCCTTGATTTTTGTACATGAGGAATTAATACATTTCCATATACAGTAATACACTTTTGTCTTAAAGGCAAACTTGGACAACTTTAGTCTTCTGGATAGCATGAATTTTAAGAGAAGTATTCCTTTTAAGCAGCTGTCAGAGTTCATGTATTTATTTACTTCGATCCTTTTTACTGAAGTGACACCTTTGTTTTAAATTAATAATTTTTGTTTCTACTATGTTAGGATGGCCTCTACATGGATACCTTCCATCCAGTGAAAATTACTGATTTGACTTCACTGTTAAATCATTTGGCTTCCCAAGTTTATTGACTTAAATAAAATGTGATTTGTCTCAGGTCTATTGCTGTCAAAAGCCAGCTTGAGAGGAAGATCAATTAGGGAAAACAATTTGAGGAAATGACATGCAGGTATTCTTCCAGATCAGGAGTGGGCAAACTTTTTCAATAAAGTAACCAGGCTTTGTGGGCTGGTGCAATTGCTCAACTTTACTGTTTGAACAACGTTTCAATTATGCCCTCAAAACTTCATCTGCATTTATCACAAGGAAGTTTTTCCTTTTTTCCCTCAATGTGTCTAATAGAATGTCCATGCAAACTTCTTAAGTTACCTTCTTTATCAGAGTTACTTTTTCTCCTATCAGCCTGGGTTTCTCCTTATTAATTTTGTTGTATTTGTCATTTTTACAAGCCACCTCAAATCATTCTTGGAAAAAAGCAAGGAATTAATAAATGCTCCAGAAGCAGAATAACTCAAATTAGATGTAAATGGTGTAGAATGCTTCCATTCATGGTGGATTGCATAGTTTGGATCATTTCCATTAAGAGTATCTTGAAAAGCTGGCCATTGCTCACCCCCCACCCCCCAATATCTGTTTGAAGGCAACAGACACCTAACAAGATAGTGAAGAATCTCTGTGCCAGGATTTGGGGGAGGCTAAAAAACCAAGGAGGTAAGTCTGGTGTTGAGACTGTAGAGCTATAATTATGGCAACAAACTACAGTCTTTAATTCTCTGAAGCCCAGTATCAATTCTGAGAATCATCTAAAAAACATCTTTTTATAATGCATTGCCTTAAGTTCAGTCTAAAAGTATTTTGTGTTACAGCCGTACCAAGGGTATGATATGTATAAATGAACTTTGCAATTAAAGCAGGTCCTACTGGCTTCCCTTTAGTGCTCAAGTGTGCCTCTGTGTGTGTGTGTGTGTGTGTGTGTGTGTGTGTGTGTTGGGGTTTTTTTTGCAAATAGGTTGGGAAGTTACCTTGTGCACTTTTAGGTGAGACAATTCAGATGATAAATTTACTATATTAAAAAAGTACATGGGAATATTTCTATAAAACTATTAAAGGTTTAGCTATTTAAAAATTTAGAAAATTCCCTTTGGTGAATACTCCTCTTTTTTAAATTCCTTCATTACATTGCCAGGGAAACAATGTACTGCATTAAGATAGATCGAACTTTTTAATTACTGGAGGCTTTTATAAAGTACTGTACTGTATAAAAAGATCATTTAATAGTAGCACTATAACTTTAGCCAGTATCCTATCTTTGTCCTATTTTGGTGTTAGCTTTACATTGATGACTTCATTTTTTAAACCAGATCTGGGTATAAAGTTACTATATTTCTTTTATTCATCTGTAAACTTACTGTGCATCTGTTACAAATGATGTGTGAAAATGTAAATCCCTGGTTTAGAAAATACAGATTAGGTTACTGTATTTCAGCCTGTGTTTCCTTACTGATCACGAAATTTTATAATATGACAAACATAAAATATAGGATAAAACAAAAGAGGATGTATCAGGGTATATTACACACAACAAGTATATGTGTGGTGTCTTTGTAACTGGTGCTTTTTGGGTTGCAATGTGAAAAGATTGCTAAGCCTGCAATCATTATGTTTAAAAGATACTTGGGTGAATCACAATTGTCAAAATATATATTTTAAATTTTGTAGATTTTGGCTGTGAACATCCCTTTAGTATAATTTTAATTCCTGTGGGAGGATATAATTGTTAATGGAAATTTTCTTTATTAAAGCGTTCATTGTATACTGTCAGTTAAGAAAATAGGGCTTTTACACAGCTTTACTTCATAACCAGAACATGTTTAATTCTTTCATGAGTTGCAGACAAGCAGGCTTCATTAAATGTCAGAGGTGTGAAGTTTTATACTGAGACTAAGAAGATTGTGTCAACAGTCAGGGCTTTGTTAAGTGGAGGATATGAAAAATGCTATTCCGCAAGAGCAGTGATTGGTCATTAGCTTGTACTGGTAAAAAGACAGCTTTGACAAGCAACATACTAGACTGGAGTAGGCTCCTGAATTTGTTTCCTCATGTGCAAAATGAGGTTACTCACTTTGCTAAGTTGTTAAGAATGTGGGTGAAATGTTCAGCACATAATAAATGCTCAACTATCATTTTTGTTTCATTGATAACATTTAGCTAAGGAGTTTCTTGGAATGCCCAATTTTAGTAGGATTTGCTTGTGTGTTATTCAAAGCTTCATATTCCCAGGTCGGAAACTAGGGTGAGGTGGCATGTAATCTATGCATAGTATTAAAAGTACTTAGGTAAAATACATAATAATTTGAGATAACAACTTGCCTTTTCCAGTCTCTCTTAAGAAATTGTTTAAATGTTTCCTTAAACTACATAGAATTAAAAGTAATTTTTTATATACTTTGAAGATTTATCACTTTAACATTAACTGTAGATTAGGTAACAGTAATTGTGATTACTTTGGTATCCACAAGAGGGAGAGCTTATACTTAGTAATAGTCTTAGATTTTTATATTTTTAGTTTTCAATTCAGATGACAGTAAAGACAAAACGACTAGGTGTGTGTTACACTCCATGACCTAATTTTCCACCTAATCTAATTTTTAAGTGGTCTTCATTAAGGTGAATGGAAAAATATCTATTAGACACTTGACATTTTTATAATTTTATAATAATTTCCTATTGTATATGCCTACCTACTTTAAATGATTTGATGTGCTTGGTATTTCTATACCCAAACATTATCATGGGTATTTTCTTTTTTTCAAATCTGGCACTGATATACCATCTCATGCCTAAACTATTTTTAAACTGCATTATACTCATTATGACTGTCTGCATGAATTAACCAAGTACAGTGTTTATGCTTACTGCTATATAATTTGAGGAACTCTTTGGAAAGCATACTGAATGCCCAGAATTGCTCCAAGGAACCAGCAGTTAGTTCTCTTCACATCTTCACACTTAAAACAGGCTCCTTTGTGAAATATTCTTTTGTAGTGAACATCTCACAATGTTAGCTGGTAAAGTAGAGGTGGTTAACTAGTTTTTGTGAGGTAATTATTTCACACCTATCAAAAACCTGCCAAAAGCCCTGTGATTTTTAATACACTGTGAGTTAACAAATGACATTCACAACAGACTAAAACAAGAGGATTTTTCTCCAAAGCAGTATAGTATATTGTGCTACTTATATTGAATGAACTATAGTCCTCCATAGAATTGGAATATTTTGACAGAAAAGGTATTAACCTTACATAATTCACAATATTTTAATACATCTGTGTTGCTCTTCTAGTAGGATATCAAATTTAGATTTTTAGAAAGGTTATCCTTTTGAAATTTTTTTTATGGCTGGACAGAAATTAAGCCATTTGGTGATTTGTTTGTTTAGTTTGACCTTGATATCTCTACAAAACAGTAGTGGCTGTTGAAATGCTGTAAGATCATTTATTCTTACATTTAATATGGTTTGTATCCTTGTACACCAAAATGAGAATATGTGCTGAAGATTTCAATTCATTTGGCCATTAAGCTGAAGAAAACCATGAATGTCCAAGTAAGACTATTTATTGAAAAATAAAACCTTTAAAAATTAATTTAAAATAACTGGTTCCTCAGATAGTTGAGGTAAAATACTTGTAATTATAAAAATCTGAAAGACATTTTAGAAGTTATTTCTGTTCCATATAATCTTCCCTCTCGCTTCTTTTAGCTTATGAGGAAATCATCTGGCTCTTCCTATCTTGTGCTGTCATGTCACATTGGTTTAGAACCAACAATATGAGACAGCCCAGTCAAACATAAAAGAATGTAATGCATGAAACTTAAATTTTATTTTAATGTAGACTTGGGTATACATTCTGCAATTGATGCATCATTTCAGTCCATAATGTCAAAACCAAACATGCCAATTTCAAAGACATGAATATATGAATGAATATAACTTTATCCTTGTACAGATTTATGAATGAAGAACATATTCCTTACTACTTAATTATATCAAAACCACTGCACATTATAGGCCATAATAAAATCTCAGGTGTGAGACAGATTTGTAAAAAACTCATCAATTAGAATAGCTTTTTATTATATAACCTTCTGTTTAATAGAGTACATGTAATTGCTAGAAATCAAGAGGACATTGTCTCTTCATTTGCAATGTCCTAATTAAATATCTTTCAGTTGTTTAATTTACATTATCACAAAACTAATTGGAGCAGAAATGTAGATTGCTTATTTCTCTTTTAAAGTATTCCCTTTTATATGAAAAATAAGTATTAACTAAAAAAAACCGCTTTATTTCAGTGATAATATGCAACATGCATACTGGGAACTGAAGAGAGAAATGTCTAATTTACATCTGGTGACTCAAGTACAAGCTGAACTACTAAGAAAACTGAAAACCTCAACTGCAATCAAAAAAGGCAAGTCCCTGTTTGCTGGAAACCACTGATTCCAGCCAAATTGCTTAAAGAGCAACTAGCTTTTGTATTTTATCAAAATCTCATCTAATGAGTTTGATAAGCTTAATTATATATAGTATATTCACAGTGCACCCATTCTTTGCTTTGACTTCAGTCTCATACTGGTCAGCTTCACACATAGAGGTGTTGCTGATGTGTTTTTTTCTTTAGTACTGTATTCTTTTTCCCTTGTGGCTTTTCTCAGCCAAGTGTTGCTTATGTGTATAAGGGTGAGGTGTTAAGTTTGCTCTACTTGACCTTTTACCACAACTACTTCATATGCTTAATAAAACAACAAAAAAACCTAAAGCAATTTTTAATGCCAGTGCTACCAAATAAATGAAGACCTCCCTTTTTGTTTTCAGAACAGTAACTTTGATTCATTATTTAGGTGTTTGGATTTTTAATAATTTTCCTAATAACTGGATAGGAGGGAAAGTTTATCCCTTTCAACCAAACAAAAATTTTAATAGCTTTGCCTTCTGTATTTGATTGTCTTACTGTCTAAACTTTTTGAGTTTTGGGTCTGCTACAAGTATTAGTGGCTAAAGCTATCTTTATACCCTGGGAAATACACAGTACAACTTTTACCAGGTATTAGATAAGAGATTTATTTTCAAAAAGTTACGCACTACAAATTTGAATGCCTTAAAATTTATTTTTAATACAATAAAATGTGACCTTTAAAAAGATAGTTACCTCTTAATTTAAAATAGTTGTTTGTGATTCAGATTGTCTTAAAGAGCACTAGAGAATTATAATAGTTATTCTCACTGGTGTTTTATTAGGGAAAATGTTGCACAATGGGAAGAAAAATTCAATCTAGAATTCCTTTCACTTTCTGGAGAGTTGGTTACTTATAAATCAGGCCAAATAATAAGTTTTAACAAGCATAGCTTAATTTATGGTTCAAACTTTGTCCTTATGTTTTCCAGTGATCAGAATTGTATATGAAGAGACTTAAGTGGATGGTTGAAATAAGACTTCTTTTTAAAGGGACTTGGTAACTTTATAGTGAGTTTTCTGTATGGCTCTTGAAGTAGTAACTACAACTTTTAAAGAATAATAAAAAGTTTTTTCCAAACTTAGGTGTGCTTCATCCTGTATTCCTTCTTAGCTGGTTGATGACGTATCTTTTGATGCTTTCAATGATAACTTTTCTAACACATTGCCTTTAACAGTGCCAGACACAGAATCACCATCTCTTACCACAGAGTTCACTGTTTTGTAGGAGACAGAAATAATATCATAGATCACTCTTTTCTGTGATCTATATATCACCTTTATCCAGAGCTGAACCTATAATTACTTCCAATTCTAGCCCATTTCTATCCTTCCTCCCAAGAAAAACAGCTTATTTTATAATGTTCCATTTCTTTCTTCTAAGACTACATGGAGTCTTTTGAAACTACATGGAGTCATTTACACTTAACTGTCCTTGGGGTAAGGTTAAAATTATCTTTCTAAGTTTATAAGTTGAGGTTGAATTAGTAATAGAGAAGCCCATATTACCAATGTTCTAGCTGTAGCTAAATAAATGTATTCCAAGTCAGTGTATGTACACAAAACATTTTTTTCCATTTTTTACTTGATCTGTATTATGATCACAGCACAATTTACAAATTTTAAGTAGAATTATTTTACAACTTTTACTTAAACTGCTTTATCCATAAAAGCTTTGGAATATATAATACAGTAAATATCAATTATTTCTCAAAAAACTTACTTTTGGACTGCCTATGGAGAAAAGGTTAGAAGAGCAAAGGAATGTCCTACTTAAAACATAAGAACAACTTTCTCAGCCCCTACTGACACAAAAATGATCTGTAAGCCTTCACTTGCCAAATTAAGTGCCAAGAATGGGATTTTTACTTGTCTTTTAACTTTATTGGTTTACAGCTTTTTAAAATGTGATTCTTCATCTTTTTATACTCTGTAACATAGGCAGGACAGGACTGCTACATCCATTTTAGGTAAGGAAAGTTAACATTTGAAAAAAAAAACATTTGAATGACTTAGATCATGCATAATTTACAAGTCACATGGTCCCTTAATCATACTAACTTAGAAATGTTAATTTCATCACGAGTGTTCAGCCAAATTAATGAAGTGTTATGGTATTCTATGATTGCAGATGCCATGAAAACTGACATTTAGTCTGTGCTTTCTTTTTAGCTTGCACTCCAGTTGGATGCACTGAAGACCTTGGGAAAGACTGCACAAAATTGCACTTGACAAATTTCACTGCACCATACAAAAGACATGGCCCACCTGCACCAAATGGCAAACCTCTTTGTCATACTATATCTTCCCCTTTATCAGGGGATATAAAGGTTTTATCAGAGAAAGCAATTCTCCAATCATGGACAGATAATGAAAGATTGATTCCTAATGATGGTATAGACTTTCAGGAACACAACTCTTATGGCAGAAATTCTCTGGAAGATAATTCTTGGGTATTCCCAAGCCCTCCCAAATCTAGTGAGACAGCATTTGGGGAAATTAAAAGTAAAACTTTGCCTTTACCCAACCTGCCGCCACTGCATTACTTGGATCAACATAATCAAAACTGTCTTTATAAAAGTTAATTCTGAAGAGATTTGTGATTTGATCATGAGGTCACTGTATCTCTCAGTGGTTCTCCCAAGAAATTATTTAACAAACGGAAAGTGGATTTTGATTAAAATTTTGCATTTCTTCAGTATGTACATTTCAACATAAGGTATGATAAGTAGTTGATTTTCTAATATGAAAGAAGAGCACCCTTCAGCTCTATATTCTCAGAATCAGATAATATGCTAACTATACTAATGAATAAATTTAAGGGATTTATAAAGATAAACCTGCCATTTATAACAATTGTGAAATTTACTATAGGTAAAGAATAGAATTGGAGATATTTGGACATGGTGTTATAAAGTATGTGAAATGCCTAAATATCCATTCATAAAAAGAAAAGGAGGCCTTTAATACAGGAGGAAAACCACGTACATTGGTTCAGATTGCATAAAGGGGCAAATGACAATGTGAATAGGTTATATTTGTTGACTTTATGATATATAAAATTATGAAATATAATGGAATAAAAGTATCTAGGTTATTACATCTCTTGTGTTCCTGAGTTAAAGACTTAGTCATTTTTTAGTCACAGTTTTTGTTGATAAAATATTAAACTAGCATTAGAATTTCAAGACTTGAAATAACTTGACCACTGAAGACAAGTTTGTACCAGCACATTCAAGTCTTAAATTGCAAAAAAAGGGGATGAAATAATTAAAAACTATGTGGTATAGAATAAACTATTGTAACTTTATACACCAGTTAGAAAGGACATCTCATAAATAAATATCAGTCTATTATATCCCTTCAGTGATCCATAAACATGTATAACTATATGACATTTTCCTCAAAAGGAATATAGTTCCTTGTTATATAGACAGCTTATAAACTCTTAAACTTCGTTTTGAAATGTAGTACTTGAGAAAGTGATTTTCTAATTGAATTAGCAATTTTCATTCTAGAACTAAATTATATACTATATTGATAAAGTACAATCATAAAATGGCCCTAAACTCATTCTAACTGGCTAATGATTTGTAAATAAGAAAATAACAGAGATGGCTTCACATGGAAATTTACCTAAATTCGTTGAGAATAGAGGCATTAGGAATATTAATAGTAATAGTAGTGACAATAATATATTACTTGGTTCATGTATCTTTTGCCTGAGATAAAGTATTTCAAGTAGGAAGACTTTGCCCTTCATGCAAGTTTCATATATCTTGAACTCAAAAGAAATCTCAGATCTCTTCTATATGACTGGATAGCATACCTAAGACAGTGTTCACTGTTCACATATTTTTGTCTTTCTATTATCTTACTCATTTATTCAAACTTGTCTGTGATTAATGGAATTGATGTCAGATGCTGGAATTTATTCTGACCAGTGAACACAGCTGACTCAAGGGAGTAGAGTCTTCCTGCCAAGTAATGGAACAAAACCCAATATGCATAAAACAAATGCAAGACTCCAGGCTTTAGCTCAAGGAAGCAACTACCTGTATAATAACAAAGCAGCAGAAGCTATTTCTCATGTGGCTGCATAGGCCATATATTATCTCTAATCTCTAATGTAGCTTACTAGTTTGATTTTTTTAAAAAACAAGATTAGAATTTTTCCTTTGTAAAGAAAAGTCTTAGGAGAAGGGCTTCATTAATGTTTTGAACAATGCTAAATTAATTACAATTATTTTTGTTCAAAATGGAAGTGAATATGAAATACTGTCCTTGCCAATATACAGCAAAGTCTAGTAGTAATTGTTATTAATTTCATTCCTCTAACAGAATTGTCTTAATAAACCAAATTACTTTGAATTCCCTTTAAATATAAATGACAGCTATCAAACGGGTATGCTAGAAAGTCAGTGATTTTCTTAACAGTTTAAAGTAAATGATGTGAAAGACTTTTTTTGGTACCAGGGATGGAACTCAGGACCTTGCGCTTGCCAGGCGGGCACAGCACCACTGAGCTAATCCCTGGCCTGAAAGACTTTGAGGAAGAAAATATTAGCCAAAAAGTATTTCTGTCCAGCCAGAAATTTAATAATCTCTGTTCTCATCAAATTGAAGAAGAAATGCATGGCACATCTATAGCTTATAATCAATTTAAAATCTAAACTTTTATATTGACCTCTTTCATATTAGCCACAACTAAGTCCAAGAGCTTCCCTTGAAATTCTTTAATATTTATTTTCTTTTTATAAGATAATCTAATTCATTTCTATAACAAGTCATATTAAAAGAACAAACAAAGCCACCTGTGGCTTCCACACTTACTAGTTTGAGGTAAAATTTGTATCCCTAAAAGGAAGATTTTCTTATTGCCAAAAAGTCAAGTTCATATGTAGAGCAGGGACATACCTAAATAAAACATTAGAAAACAAAAATGGAAAATTCAGACCTCAGAACTAAGTAACTGAAGCATCTGACAACGAAGAAATGATTTCATCCAGTAAAGCTACCTGGAAAGGGTAAATCTTAAGGAGCAAAAAGAAAAAAGGCTTACATATTTGTATATTGTCACCTAGGAACAGGGAACATAAATACAAGCAAAGGCACTAATAAGATACATGTGAGGCAGATGTACTAGTCATATTAAGTAGACCTGAGTGTGTTGAGGCATGAATATTCTAAAAGCTATGATGATTTAGTTTTTGTCATGAGAAAGGATGAATGTATTATACAATATGGTTTGTCTATGCACCTGTGGGAAATGCAACATATATGTAAGTAAATTTTACAATGCAGGATTGAAGTTGGCCACTTTAATTAAAAGTATTTGAAAGCACAGATCATATATTTCACTAGCTTCTTAACTGTTTTGCCATTTCTTCATTTGAGTAATTAAAAGCAAGAATGTGCTTTAGGTAATGCACCAGTAACAAAAGGCCAATGGAGAAATATGCCTCTGCCATGTAGTGTCTTAGATTTCTATATAAGCTTTTACATTTGTTTGCTCTAGTAATCTCCCTCCTTGTGATCTGTGGCCTAGGAAAATGTGGTTTCTGAGTATTTCAAGTAAAAGTAAATTAGCTCTTTTATAATTCAGTCAAGAGTAAAGTGTAGAACTTCAACACCCATTGATTCTTTAGGATCCTATTTCATTTAATTAAATACCTTTTTAAAAAATGTATCATATCTATGTATTTCATGGGATTGGGGCCAAAGTTAAATCTTGTCTTAGTGGGTAATAATTTCTATTTGTGATTTTAATGAAGATTAAAAATATACATGAAATTTACTTACAAACTAGTATGGGTGGTTGCAGTGAACAGTTAACAGCTCATGGGGGTAAAAAAAGAACAATTTTTAATGCAAATAAAAGCTTGACCTGGGCCCAAATTATTGCATTGAAACAGAAATTTGTTATAGTAGCTCCTGAGTCCACTGCTGTGTTACAAAATGATAATTCCCATTTATAAAGATGACTTTAAAATGAAGTATTTTCAGCAGCTAAGTTATCAAGTCAGGAAGGAAATAACTGCAGAAAATTTTCCATCAAAGATATAAGTAAGATTGATTCATATAATTATCTCCCTATTTCCAAATAAGGCTTAACCACTACCTACCAGTTAAAGAGCATTTATCAAGTCTTGAAGCACTTTCCTGTTCTCCTATATACTCAATATTCAGTAAATTCTCACTGTAAGTGAAATTTACTTCTACAGTCACAGTTAGTAAATGGTAGAACTACAAAGGTAGGAAGGATTCTGATTCACAGCCATTCTCCTATACTGATAGTTAGTTATTAACATCTTTGAAGGTTGTTCATTCCTACTTAATACTTTTGATTTCCATGATTAGCCATTAGCCTAAATTGTACAAGAAGAGAATATCCATATGAAACTCTGAAAATTAGCATTGTTACAGAAGTACAGTTGTGGAAAAACTTGTAAAAAAGATCCAGAATGACCAGAAAAACCATGTTCCATTTCAGTACTTAATCTTAATGTATATTTAATAAACCAAAATTTTGCAATAAAAATCTTTATTTCATATAAAATTAATATTTTAATTAGGATAAAGGAAACATTTTCATCTTGAATCCATTATTTCACATGATTTATACCACAGATAATTACTGTATGATATGAGTTCTTGACTGTCATTTGAGTATTATGCCTACGTGCTTGTGGGAAGCTTCTGTAGCCTTTTCTTGCTAGGAATTCCAGTTCTTCTGAATTCTTCCCTTTCCTTCAGGTATTCCATTTTGCATTCTTCATAAAAGGCTGGATCATTATAGCTACAAAGAGAACATGAAAATCTTTTAAAGGTGAATGACTTTCCAAGCAGTCAATCTTCAGAAGCAGACTTCAGTAATAGTCACAAATTCACTGTTAACATGGTACCAAACCAATGAAAGCAATAAAGACCTAAAGATTTTTTTTTTGGTACTGGGGATTGAACTCAGGTCCTTACCTTGCAAGGCAGGTGGTGGAACCACTGAGCTAAATTCCCGGCCCAAGACTTTTTTAATGTATTTTTTATCTGACACACAAAGCATAAAAATTATACATGTTAATGAAAAGGTTTTTTTATATAATGCTGTCACAGGACACAGCATTGAGAAAGACAGCTGCTATCCTTGAGGAGTCTATGGTATAAGAGGGTGGAGACTAGACTACAACTACGTGTAAAACGTGCTGTAAGAGAAATGTGACCGAGTATACCACAAAAACAGGAAGGCGGGAGATAACATGAAGAAATGCTTAAGTTGCATTCTGAAAGACAAATCCACATAAAGGGTACATAGACAAGGAAAAACTGGATGCATGAAGTACAAGTGGAAGTACTATAGCAGTAGATGCACATAACAGAAAGGACCTGAGATAATCATGAAAAGTACAAGGACCAAGTCATGACAAGCCATATATGCAATACAAAGAACGTGAAATCTGTCCCAAGGGCAATGAGCATAATGTAACCAAGCACCTATGGGATCAGTTTTGTGTCTTAGATAAATATGACAGCATGTGCCATAAAGGCCAAAAAGTTCAAAAAAGAATTCCAATAAACTTAAAATAACCCAAGCAAGAAATGAGGCCCTAGGCAAATGAACAAACTGGAATGAAGGAGGGAAAATAAGGATTTGGTAAAATCTGGAAACTCAACAGGAAATCACCAGAGTTGGGGAACAAAGACAACTTAAAATCTAGAGAACTGTATGATTCACAAAGATGCATAATGTGAGAGGACCACAATGGAAATGAGTTCAGTTTGGGACCTCAAGAAAGAAGCAAATAAATACCACAATCTATAGTAATTTAAATACATGGATACAAACAGCATTCTCAGATTTAAGAAGAAGGACAACCCAGAGAAATAGCAATTAAGGAATAGGTTAAGGAAGAAAAGGTTGAGAAGTACAGAGAAATGTATGAGAAACTGGAAAGCATCATCACAAGTTTTAAGTTTATAGTTCAGAAGAACTTTAAAAAAGGGATAGCCAGAGGAGGGTGAAGTGAAAGATCTATTTGTTGGATCTGGCTATACCTAAGAATCTCAGAAATCAGATAATAAGATATTCAGGAATGAATGAAGGTGAGAAATAGAAATATAGGAGTCTAACCACTAATTTTCAAAACAACTAAAAAGAAGAGTAATGGTTATATTCATGTTACGGGATTTCAGTAATTAATAAAGCATTTATTCAAAGATGAAATAAACATTTCTTAGGGCAGTGATGATGTTGGAGCTCCAGTGGCACAATCGGTTAGTGGCGCAATTGGTTAGTACTTATACAGGACAATGATGATGAACCTTTTAGAGATGAGTGTCCAAACTGCAACCCAAAACCCACTTATTTATTGCAAAGTTCAACACTGCACTTAAACCCAAATAGCTTTTAGCTTAGAAAAAAAACCTCATAAATTTAACATCTTTTGTCTTAAAACACATGTGCCATAGGTTTGCCACCATTTGAGGGTATTCTGAAACCTAATGTCAAGCAAAATTTTCTTTCATAACTTTACATTTACTCTTAGCAAATCTCACAACTTTTGTTCCTTCACTGATTTTTCTCTCTTCCAAACCATGAGAAGTAGCTTGCTCTGACTTCCCAGTGCCTTGTTAAGGATGAACTAAAACCTGTTCTTTCCTCATATTTTAAAGGAGTAAGAAATGGATGGTTATTCAAATGACTGATATTCAGATAAAAATTTTAAAATATAGATGTTATAAATAACTAAAGCTCAAAAAAAGAACATTTACTGAGTACCTACTTTGTGCTAGGAACCACAGTGAAAGTGTTAACATAACAAAATCACTCCAGGTAAAATTATCCCTTCTCACAGTGAGGAATGACCCAAAGTCACACAGTTAGCTTAGCTGTCTCTGAGCTAGAAGCTAAGTCCAGGTTGTCCCCTTTCTAGCCTGTACACTTGTCAACGCTGCTCTAAAGCTGCCCATTTGCAGGGAGGGGCAATGTGTCAAACTAAGAATAACTTACTATTGATGACTGAATCAGAAGTGAAAAATCCATCAACAAAAAAAAACAACAAATTGATTGCTCACTAAACATCTAGAAATGGAAGAACAATTTATCACAGAATGAACGCATCCTACAGTAAAGGGCTTAGTAGAGCTCCTAGCCCATGGATAAGAACTGCTGTTAGTATTACTAACTTGAGAAAAAACATCATTTCTAAATGGAGACATGAATTTAAATATATAATCTCTGAAATCCTTTCCAATTTCAGCATTTAAAAACTTGTGTAAGTTTTTGAAAATAACACAATTTGTTATTATAAATAAATAAGGCATTCAGATGAACATGATTTATTTAGTTCCCTAAGAAATACACCATACTGACATATATGGCTCACAGGCTAGAGGAACACAGTATATAAAGGAAATGAGTGCTTGTTAAAGATTTTATAATTATTAACAATACTTAAGTAAAATATTCTACAATTTTATTTGTCAATGTGGATAATAAAATGTAGAGAGATAAAACAAAACACACATGCATTGAAAGAATTTTGCACACTTTCCCTTAGTAATTTAAGGAGCATCTGCCAGAGTGAAGTGTCAAAGAGTTGGCTTTGGGATCTGCATGACAGATTGGTGGACCATAATTCTAGGTATATTGGGTGGGTCATGGAGGTGTGGCCTTGGGCTTTATGTCTGGTCCTTCACTCCTTCTCTGTCACTGTTTCTCTGCCTTCTGTTCAAGAGGAACTAAGTATCTTTGCTCTGCCACACCCTTCCACCATTATGTTTCTGCCTTAGAGCCAACCAACTATAAACTGCATCTCTTTAAAACCTTAGCCAAACTAAACCTCTCCTCCATTATGTTGTGGGTGTTGATTATTTTATCTAGCAATGAGAAAACTGATCAGTACAGAAAATGTTACCAGAGATGTGAGGTCATTGTTAAGACTGTACTTGACCGTGTAATTTAAAAGGCTTTGGAACTCCTTTTCAAGACTCTGCAAAGGTTTGAGATAAAGGCTAGAGAAGCCCTAGAATTCTGTAAACAGCATGAGTGCTGATAGGAATGCAGATAGTAAAGGCCAGGCTCAAGTTTCAGCTGGGAATAAGAACTCCACTGGCAATTGGACTAGAGGCCATGTGTGCTACACTCTGGCAAAAAACCTATCTACATTTTACCTATATCCTGAGATTGTAAAAGACTGAAATTAAGGATGGTAGACTAAGCTGGTGGAATAAATTTCAAGATAGCCCAACATTCAGAGTATGGCATGGATACTGCTAGCTGCTTTTAGCCAGATATATAGTACTACTTGGGCAAAAGACAGAGCAGAAAAATTTGAAAGATTTAAATTTTGACCCAGAAGAAACCATGTGTAAAGTAGAAATAAAGAGGTATGGCTGTTGAAGAGATTAGTGCCATTAATAAGGAACCAAATACTCTGTACAGGGACAAGAAAAAAAGATGCCTTGACAGCATCTCAGAAATCAGCAAGCACCCACTACAAGCTCAAAGGTACAAAAGTGTAAATCTTTCAAGTGAGAAAAGAGGCCGTGAGCCCCCTACTAGAGAAGGGTCACCTAGGGAACTGATTCTTCAGGATTCATTTCACTGTGCTTAGCCATCTAAGCACTCAAGAGGCTGCTGTCATGGCCAATCTACTTCTTCAATTGGCAGCAGACTTTGGCATCATCCATGTGATGCTAGTTCTTTAGGAATGCAGAATGCAAAGAGTTATGAGGTCAGAAAAGCTTCCACATTTTAAATGAAGCCCTGGAAGGCTAGGCAAAAAGCCCCTGAGTGGGCCATGCATGAGGCTGTGGGAATAAAACCAAAGGTACAGTGGAAACTCGAGCATGTTGAAAGGCCAGGAAGTGAAACATCTGCCAAAGAAAGCTGCAGGCTATGAGTGGAGCCAGTCCAAAAGTAAAGCTGTATGAGCTGCAGCCAGCAAGGCCATGGTGGGTAGGACTGCTCAAGCCCTCTGGAACTCACATCTCACAATTGTGTTTCTTGGATGCTGGATATGGAGCTGCAAATCCTGCTGGATTTCATCTTACATTGGTCTTATTCTTTTCTACTCTCTCACCCCAGTTCTTCCCTTGTGGAATGGGGTTATTTATCCTGAGCCACTGTACCCTGGGATTATGTAATTTGTTTTTGATTTCCACAGATGTTTATAGCTAAGAGTTTGCCTTGAGTCTCAGAAGCAACTTTGACTCAAATTTTTGAAAAAAATTTGAACTACTGAGGCTTTGGGGAATAACTTACATTTCTGATTGTATACAGGAGAGTTATGGTTATATTATGTTAGGTAGAATTATGAACTTGCTATTGTCTTTATTTAGAGATTAAATATGTATGGTTTGGGTATGAAATTTGCAAGGGGTGGGACAGGGGTGGTTAGAGTAAAGGAATGTTAACTTGAATGACTTTGGGATCCACATGAGGGACTGATGGAGCACAATTCTAGGTATATCTGAGAGGTTGTGGAGATGTGACCCTGGAATCTATGTCTGGCCCCTCACCCCCTACTCTCTGGCACTTTCCTTGCTCTACTTTCTGGCCATCATAAACTAAGCATCTTTGCTCTGCTATACCCTTCCACCATAATGTTTCTGCTTTGGAGCCAGCCAACCACAGAATCAATTCCCTTGAAGCAGGGGCCAAATTAAACCTCTTTTCCTTTAAGCTGTGGGTGTTAGGTATTTTGTCCAGCAAAGATAAGGCTAATACAGGACTATCATGAAATATTAGTGACCATATTAAAATATTTTAAAAATTTAACTTCAGAAATCTAAATTTATTTTGTATCTTTCACGTGATTTACTGCAACTATTGTAATAATCCAACAAATCAAAAGCCTGGAAAAGGTTTCAGAGATAGTCTAATTCAGTTTCTTTCCATTAGAAGAAATAAAAATTGGAATACATTATACTCTATAAATCACCTTATTTCCAAAAAAGGATTTGTAAAATCATGTGAAAAAACCATGTTTTTGTTTGCTGACTTCATATTTTTAATCAGATACAATGCTGACAAACATAACTTTATGATAAAAATCCTTTCAATAAACAGGTTTTTTATTTTACAAAGATCTTCAGCATAGTGAAATTTTGGACTCAGGCAAGAGTATGAGAAATTTGGCTGGGGGAGGTACTGAACATATTACGTGTGATGAATTAAATAACATACTATTACACACACACACACACACACACACACACACACACACACAATGAACTACTTACTAAGCAGTTAGACATTCTTTCAATGCAGAATTTTCTTTCCGGCATTTTACTACCATCAGAATTCCAGAATCTTTGCAACATTTGGTAAAATCTAAAATAAATTTGAAAGAAAAAAAATCCTTATAATTACATCAATATAATAGCTCTAAGATATTCATTTAACATCTATTACCTACATTGTGCAGACACATAGTACATGCTCAATAAAAGATATGTACACAAGTAAAAGGCAGAATAAGATAAGCAGAATTCACTTTGTAAAAATAAATGAGATTTGAGGGAAAGAGAAAGTATTTTTGAAATAAAGGTTAGAAATCTTCCTGGAAACAATATAGAAACCAACTAGTATATCTAGTAGGGAAAGAATACATTCTAGGGGACGTAAGTAAGAAGAGTCAAAGGAGAATTGTTTCTATGTACTGACATATGGTGTTCAAGTTTTAGTGTATCTTAGCAATATATGTCAGAGCTGAAGGATCCACAGTTAATGGTATCAAAGCATCTCTCTTCTTTCAGACAAGGCTGCAATGATGCTTTAGTATCTAATAATAGAACTTCATTTCATTTCTCAAGTCAGCTCTGATGTCCCACAGATTTCAAATGGTTTTCTATTAAATTTCCAGCCTAGTAGCTTACCTTTTAAATTGCATTGGCCTATTTGGTATCTGCTTTTTCAGGACTACCAACCCAGAAAAGCCTGGAACTATCTTCTACTCACAGCTGAGCCACTTGCTACTCTGTCTTGTGTTAGTTTCTGGTCAGATTCAGTCTTAACATTATCTTTCCACAGAACAAGGTCTTCTGCTCTTTACCTTTCGCAACTATCCTCTTATACTATTCTGGTCCTTCCTTTTGGACCACTGGCTATTCATTCCAGGTTTTGCCAACTTCTAATCTGCCCCAAGGTAACCAGCCTTTTCAATTTCAAATCTTAAGCCATGACATCATGTTCCCACAGAAGCTGTAGGCAAAAGTATTTCCTCAGTATCTTTTATAACTCCTTAAATCAAAATTCTTAAAATTCCCTCTTTTCTTGAGCTATGTACTACCTATATTGAGAAATATAAATTATTTTTAATTATCTTATAGTAAGCAGGTAAACTCAGGAATTTCCATAAAGCTACATAACTATAATATGTAACAAAAATATTTTTAAACAAGTAACTGAAAATACTGATTTTTCTTAACCAAGTAAAAAAATCCTTAGGGAGACTTTACCAGGACAAAACCTCTATACCACAGATGTTTGTATCCACTGAAACATCAAGGCTATCACCTAAAAGAAAAACGGGCAAAATAGGAACAAAGACAAAGGATACAAGAGAAGACTTTAATTCAAATAAACTGGCTGAAAACTTCTTTAAGAGAATCACCATATACAATAGTGGTGACACACAATGAACTTGATTCCCCTACAGCACTTTCAACTCATTATACCTACACCAAGCTAGTTCACTCAGATAACGTCTAGAAAGATCATTGGCATCACAAATTTTGCCTAATGAAAATATGCTAGTTGACCAAACCCCAGCCCTTTTCTGGAAAACAAAAACAGAAAGGTTATTATCAAAAGTCTACTTTCCAAATATAACAAACCTAACATTTTTATTGACTTGAGAAATTCATAAAAGAATGCCTATACATTCTATTGTTTTAAACTGTGTTCTCCCTAATATGAAATAAAATATCCTTAGTAGGAAATTGATGGAAGATAACATTTATAGGTTCTGATCACACTAAAGGCATAGTCTATATATTTTCACACTTTTTCAAATCTCTTCAGGAGTAATTGTGATTGATCTGGAGCCTCAAGCTGTTTGTAAGGTTTCTGTCACTTGTTTAGCAACAAGATTTTAATGAGGATCTTTCTTTCATCCTACATTAGCATATATTCATAATAGGGATTTGCTAATACTACCAATTTATTTCTGAAATGGTATTTTGAAACAAATTTTACAATTACTTCCATCTTTCAACTTTATGTTAATAAATGGTCTATATACCTGATTCAATAATTTAATTCTAATTTCCACTAGAAATTATGAAAATAAAATTTCATTCTATTAAATAAAACTTAAAATAATACAAAAGATGATCAAACACTAAAGGTAACAATATGAAGAGATTAAATTATTCCAAAGCTTAAAAAGTGTACACTCAAAACATTTTTCTTTAAAATATTAACAATATAAAATTCTATATTTTTCAAAATCATTTCTCTAAAAGAAACCATTTAATATATAATTAACTATTGCTGATAATATACTTTGTTATAATAAAATTTATATCAAGAACATCTCACAAATTTTTTAAAAATGGGCAAAATAATCTATATTGTAATTAAGTACAAGTAATCTATATAATGTATAGTTACTATGATATGACATTCTGGGAGCTTTCACATAAAATTAGTAACAAATAAATTACTGAAATTATTTTTAACTTATTTAATTTACAAAACTTTTGAGTATATTTTAATATTTAATAACCCCTAGAAAAAGCTTGCTTAAAGTTAGAGGTAAGCCCTTATGGAGCAGTTCCACGCAGGGAATTAGAAATATCAGACAGTTGAACTTTTACATTCTTCACTGCACTGAGTCAAGTTCCATACAACATACTTTGCAAATACTGTTATCCAATTAGATCTAAAGTTAGCACTCACTGACAGATGACAATTTTAAAAGGTATAAAATTAAAATATTATTTCATATCTTTGACTAAATTCACTCCTTTTATCTCCATTAATTTATGATTTTTAAAAATTTTTTTCATAACTATCTTTAGAGACAGGACTTCTTTAACTTTTCAGTAGTTTACTTCCTTAACCATTGTTTACAAAGTGCCTATTTTTCCCACATTACAAAAAGCATATTTAGATAACAATATTATGCACTATTTTAATATATAAGCTTATGCAGTATTTCTATGACTACATAATCATCTTGCTAAATCTCACTTTTAAATCAAAAGCTTCAAATTAAATGAAAAATATTTAGGAGGTCCTGCTAATTAAAAAACATACTAGATTTAAAAACCATTCACATTCATAACATATCATTTCAACTCTACAAATAGAAATCTAAAGCACAAAATTCTTCACATAAAACTATCCATCTAACAATAGAAGAGACATACTTTAAACACAGTGTATAAAGTTCCTTTGAGAATTTATGGACTCGTAAGAGATTTTAAAAATACAGGACTAAAAATGATGCAATTTAGGGAAGGCTGGATGCTGACTTTTACTAATATTTCCCTTCAGACAAAGATACCTGCCACTTTAAATTTTTAATGTAAATTATAATCTAAAACTAAATTTTCAAAAGAAAAACCTATCTTTTACGTGAAGACTTCTGTAGCAAACAGTCTAATGTCAGGTCCCTGAAGATGATGCCTAAGTGCAGTGCCGCTCTCAGTAATCATCCCTTCTGGAAGCTGTGAAATACAAAGCACCTGAAGACAACAGGAGGTTACCCTTAGGTTGGAGCTCACCAGTTTCACACGCAGTGATGAAGGCCTGAACTAAGGCAGAGACAATGAAGACAAAATTTTATCCTTTCCTTTCCAATGACTGCTCAGCTGAAGAAAACTGAGACCACAAAGCACATTATTTTGGATAGCTAACAGGATGAACAAAGTTTTTCATGATGTTCAAGAGAAGGATTTTTGTAATCAGTATTGAATTTACATACATTAGTTTGTAAAATTTAGTAACAAAACGTAGATCTCTTGCAACTTCTCTATCAATGATCCCAGCAATCTATTGGAAAGAATCTAGTCCAACCTTTAGACAATCTAAAGTCAAGTATTATTAACAATTCCAAACTGGATAAAAAAGTTAAGTTCAATTAAGCTGAAAAAAAGTATCAAGGAGTCATTTCCAGCAAACAACCTAACTCAAATGAAATAATTGTGGATTATTCCTCAAAACATTTACAAAACTTATATTTCAAATGGAAAAATATGCAGAAACAAGCACTTTTAACAAAAACATACATTGAAATAGTGGCTTCTTTATTGTGCTCACATCTTTAAAACTGTTTCATCAGTTTCCAAAGGCAAATATCCCTGTAGATGAGAAATTACCAAATCATGTTGTTACCTTACTGTGCAAGAAACAATTAATTTGTAAATATTACATTGGTTTTTTGTTTAATTTCCAAAGCACAATGAAAAAAAAGTCACATTCCTGTCTTCATGGTCCAACAGTAAGTGGCTACTCTTCACTGTATTTAGTGTAACTATGTACTAGATACAGTTCAGTGAGTTAATGTTTTGTATTAGATGATTTAATAAAATTAAAATAATCTTTTCATATATTCTTACTACTCATCCAGAGTCTCATAAAATATCATCCATGCATTCATTAAACATTTTCAAAGTATTTACTATGTGCTTAACACTGTGATTGCTAAGGTTTATGCTCTGTGGAAGTTAAGAAAAGTTTCCAAATATAGACAGTAATTTAAAAGTTCTAACACTTGAGCTTCATACCTACTCTGAAGGGAAGGTTAGGCGGAATGCTGTGGAAACACAGAATGGGAACCCCAAACATATTCAAGAAGGACTTCCCATGTGAAGTACTTTTAAACTAGTATCTATACTAGGTTGGCTAAAGAAGACTAGTAGTATTCTGGACAAAGAGAGGAGCACAGGAGGAAAATGTCTAGTGATTAACAGGCAGGGCATATTACATAGAATAATTCAGAATGGCTATAACATTTGTTATTAGGGTGTGTGTGTGTGTGTGTATGTGTGTGCGTGTGTGTGTGTGATGGAAATGAAGTTGAATAAGAAAGTCATGTATCAAGTATGACCTGTGGGCAGTGTTAAAATGTTTAGACTTTTGGCAAAACCCGGTGGAATACACTTGTAATCCCAGCACTCTGGAAGACTGGTGCAGGAGGATCACAAGGCTTAGAAACTTAGTAAGATTTCAAAATAAAAAACAAAAAAAGGCTGGGGATATTGGTCAATGGAAAAGCCTTGGGTTCAATCCCCCAAACAAACCAAAGTTTAGACTTTCTCCTAAGTACAATTGAAGGGTTTTAAAAAGTAGAACAACACAATCATATTTTTTTTCTACAAAAC